CCTGGCACGACTGCCAGCCGCCGACTGGGTATACTGAATGTTCGGGAACCTGAAGGCACAGTGGAAACTGTAAGAGTGGGCACTTAAAAAGTACTCTATTCTAAGCACGACTCTGCTGCCTCATGGATTAAGCCATCCTGGCGTGGACACGGTGAATAATTCGCTTATCCGGATATGCTAACAGCACTATCCACGAGTAGATAATCATCTGTACTACCATACGGTTTGTTGGTCGCTTGTTTATCTCATGTGCTTCTCGTTCTCCATTCAGTTTTTTCCACACACAAGTGAGAACGTCTGCTGAAGGTGCCGCGTTCCTTGATGTTGGTCGATCTGAGCACTACTTTGCCAGCACTGCACTTTGGCGTATGCTGCATGCTTTCCGAGTCAGTGTGAATCGCCAACCGGTTCTCTACTGTGAGTCTGAGACTGAGCAGTCATTTCCTTTTTGAATAAGACTGGTTGACTCGTTTTGCATTTCGACCATAACTCGTCAACACCATCTCCTTTCTGTCCGCACAGATATCGGACGCAGGTATTTCTTTTTTGAATGTTCTTTTTGCCGTGATTTCTTTGGGGATCACAAAGGGGTTTAGTTGATGTTGCTGGTTGCTAACAACCGCAAGGAGTGACTGAAACTGAGACTATTGTCTTCTTGAACGAAGATTCAAGTAACTCAAATACTATCCTATTTATTTTGACCGTGCTTTGCATTTAGAAAAGACAAAATACTGCAAGAGGTTTTACGGTTTTAAGCTGATCTCAGATTGTCATTCACCATATCCACGGAGCACCTTATCCATGACATGCGATTCAATATATTGTTCTTAGTGTTGCCACTACGACTGTCGTTTTTAAATGTTAAAATCCGTGTTTTCACTTCTGCTTGCTTTTTTCAGTCTTCACGGAGCTCAGTGCCTATACAGGTTCCATCTTAAATTATGTGGCCATTGGAATCGCTTTGTTCGGCGGATATTTCGGTGACCCATCTGCGGCCGAAATAACAAACATTATTAGTCAGGTAGGTCTCTTTAAATCATTTTTGTCACTCTGACGCCATTCGATTTATTCTGGGGGGTTTTTCTAGCTCACGGAGGGATCACAGACTGAGGTTGGCTAATTCCTTATTAATGAAGTTCATCTTTGGTGGAAAACACTGTTTATAATGTGTTCCATTGAAACCCGACAGACGGTTGTGGACTATATATGGGTGGCTGGAGAACGTTCTCACATATAACGTAATACCAGCCAAATGGCGTGACTTATTTTCAGATATAAATTACGTGGTTATGAGAAACCTTGGTCCGACCTGCCTATTGTAGGTTGTCAAGCGGCGAAAAAATCTGGAACAATTAAAAAGTTATCCTACGCAATGCATGAATGCACCTCCTCGAAGGCCTCGTTTTACGCTTTGAACGGGTCCAAGACTGTGACAGGGGCTTTGTACGAGCTTATGCTAAACTGACTTTCGTCCTAGTTTAGTAAGTTACTACTAATGTTTCCTGGTTACTATTTTGTTGGACGACATCATGAAGCAGTATTATAGATTCTTTTTTAATCACATTCGTGAGATGAACATTAGACGGACTGGATCCCAAATTCACCAAGACATGCTACCCAGTGATGAAAACCGGCAACCTAATCCCCAGAACTTGGATTGGCGAAACACAAGGTCTCGCTAGGTTAGGTATGGTAGGGAACCAGACGACGTCAAAGCTGTCTACCACTTGAGTGGGGCAGCCGTGGCGGGGCTCGAACATCGGACCCTAGGGTCCAAAGCACGCCGTTGACAGCAACTAAACCACTGCACTGCCACCACACTGTATCCTGGTCGCAAATTATGTGAGAAGACTGCTTAAGTGCGCTACCACTGATCCCAAGTGTTTTACGAA